CAAAAATAAATAAATAATTCTCAAAATATCAACCTCAATAAGCTATAAAAATAATGTGTCGAATTTAATAGTTTATTCACTGAACTTAATATATGTTGTTAAATTATATATGTACGTACTATATTTTCACGTAATAACGTCTAAAAAATGCATGCCGTTACAATTTTAGATGGGCGTAAATACGGTATATACAAAAAAAAAACAATTATTCCTAAATTATTAATATAAATAAATATATTATTAAAGTTGATATTTTACTTAATGTTTGTACTGTACGTTATATAATTCTATAGAGATGGCGGTTATAATTTTTTTTTTCCAATGCAAGAAATCCAAAATTCGTAATCTCTATAAAAACTTAAATAAAATATTTATGTACACACTTACACAAATAATTTAGGAAACATTTATTTCAATATCCTATTTATTTATACTTTGTGGTTTTTAGATTTTCATGCACCAGCGCAGAAAATCTAAAAATCACAATCACTTTATATTCAGTAGCGGCTTATTTTAAATTTCAGCAGTATGGCAAATAGTTGCTATTAGGTACGCACAAATTATTCTTGGCGTATTATTTTTAGATCCTTCACTTTATTGAGATTTATAAACTAAGAAATTTATTTTCAATGTGCTACCAGATGATACATTATCTTTATGTAAAGAGATGAAGCTTTTAATTTCTTGTACAGTATGTACGTACGGTGCAGGAATTTTAAAAAACTCAATATTCTATGTAAAGATGATGCATAAACTCAATATTCTATATAAAGATGATACATAAACTAGTAGCACATCGAAATATATTTCCTAAATTATCGATCTCAATAAGCAAAGAAAATCTTTGCATAAAATAACAAGCAAAAAATAATATATATGCATGCTATTGAGAATGACAAATTTAGCTTATCTTCAATGAGTTAGAAAACCATTATTCTATATAAAGTGATTGAAGTTTTTAGGTTTCCTGCACCGTACGTACGTACGTTGTAAAAGAAAGATTGATCCGTAAACTGCATATGTGATACAAATGCTAAAAATTGGACTTCGGAGTTCTTGCTTATTTTACAAATTTTGGTATTCGAGAGTTTGTAAATAGCCATAATTAATAGAAAAACAGTGAGAATCTTTCGTTATTCTGTTGTATTAAAAATTATAAAGTACGTAAAATGAATTTTATTGAATTCCAATATTTGAAGTACTATAGAATTATGTTCTAATACAACTTCTCCTAGTGTTTCTTTCTACGCAACGGATCAAATTGTAGGATCATGTATAATACTATAAACATAAACATAAGCTGTTTGTTGTTGTTGTTTTTTTTAATAAACTTATTACAAAGAGCTTGCAAAAATCTATGCTATTGGGCATTTTTAAAAGTACTTTTTTATTGAAAGATTTGTACATGAGCATCTGATAAACTGTTATTTGTTAAAAATAATAGAATAAATATACATCAAAATTAATAAATGCTATAATGATAAATAAATACTCACAAACTTCGTTTAATGTTTTTTTATATTTACTAAATTAACACAAATAATAAAGAGATATTCTATCATGATACAGTAAATATTCACAAATTTGAAAAGCTTTTTTAAACATTTTGCTTAGTGAATGTCTTATACTGTGAATAACTATTAAATTATCGCTCACTTTGCATAATATTGAATTCACGAATTTGGTATCTTTATTTTAAATACTTCAATTCATTAGTCTTTATATACAATATTCGACATCGTATGTATTCATGAGCTTTAATTAATAAATGTTTAATATCGTCATTTACCCATAAATCTATGTGGTTTAAATGAAATTAATGAATTTTGGAAAGCTTATTTAAATACATTTGTAATAATGCTCTTCATTAAAAGGATTACTTAATAAAATTTTCGCTATGAAATTAAATATTTTGAATTTTGTGTTATACAGTATGTAGTATTTGCACAGACAATTTGAAGAGGCAGTTGAATAGATCAAATAAGAAAGCTATTACGCGTAATAATGCTCTGAGTGTGATTTAGAATGATAACCCGAATTAAGCTTAATTTGGGCCAAAAGTTGAAATTACACACCGCGAAAAATAGGTTTATCAGTAGATAACAAAATGATATTAGCATTAGAGATGCAGGTGAATCATGCCGTAACTTTGCCGTAACGTGCAGTAACTATATTAAATAATTATTAAAAGTTACGGCATATTTGTCGTAACTTTTTATTATTATTTAATATAGTTACGGCATCATTGGGACGATTCACCTGCACCTCTAATTAGCATCAATTGTATTTTCTTGAAGACAAAATGGAAAAATAATACTGATTTATAGAATTATTGATAACTTTTGATCTACTAACCCATTTTGAATAGTTTGGTTAGCAAGTATCGGAGCAGCATATTGTCTCGAATCGATCACGGGTATATAGTAATTGATCGTTGAGATTTATTTTATAACGCAATGACGTAGTATTTGAGATTAGTAATTGTTAGTAGTATTTAAGAGGAACGTGTTTTTTCCCAGAAAAGATAATTCCTGTTTTTTTCTGCTAACCCGATTTTGTCTGTTTTTTTTCGCCCACCCTACCCCGCCCTACCCGATCCTCGTACACTATCTTGCAGTGACTTAGGGTTTTTTATTTAATGACCCTGTCGTGACGACAGGTATTGTTCTTTTAGCTAATTTTTAGATAGTTTATGGTCTGTCAGACGAAAGTCACAATTTTGATTTTGAAATAGAAGTGGCCTGTCAGGACGACAGTCATGAAGAAGTTTTCTTGTATTTGTGTATAGAGTCGGCCTGCCGGGACGACAGTCACGAAGAAATTTCTTATATTTTGTGTACATCTGTCGGGACGACAGTCACGAAAGAATTTTTTTATATTTGTGTGCATAGCACTCGTTTTAATCTTGACTAGCGGGGAGCCAAGGGTTTTTCTAGATAGAATTGTCTGTTTTTTTTTTCGTCCCATCCTTTGTGGTAGATAATAGCATTAGATAACCATCATCAAGGCCAGTCGATCGATACGTATTGCACGAAAGCAGAAGGGTCAGATTACTATAGTTGCTTTTCATTTGTAACACCCTCGACGAGAAACAAAAAATCCATATAAAATTGTATAAAACTTTAATAATCTTAAAATTTTATTATTGGATTTTAATAGTTTTGGGCTCGTTGAAATCCTCTCATCAAGATAAACTTTTTTTGATAGTTAATTATTCAAATAACTTAGTAAATCAGAAGTTATTGGCAATTTTATAAATTAGCTTAAATGAATTAAAATTTTAAATAATAAAATAAAACTAATGTAAAGTGATAGAACTAACGAAAAATGATAAAACTAATAAAATTATAAAGAGTGATAAAGCTAATAAAAATAAAAAATAAATCACTAATTCTTGAAATATTGAAGCAATAAAAATTGAATATATAAAAAAGAATTAATAAACCAATTGTTGTTGCTAATTTATCAATGAAATGAATGATTATAATTATTTGCAGCTAAAAGAATGATAATTGTGAAAAAAGCGAATTTAACATGGAGCAATGCCATCGATTTATTGGGTGAAAAGTCGTGAATTTATGATATTTGCTATAAGCTATATGATGATTGTTCCTCAATACAGCCCTTTAGCAAAGTGGATCGGGGTTGGTTTCGGGAATGCACGAAATGGCACGGATCGTGTGGTACGCACAAGCACGTTTTACGGAATGGCATAGACATTACGGTAAGGGATGACACTTATATCACGTCATATGGAACGGCACGTTCAGATGACACATATGTGTACGTTGCACACGTGTTGACTTGTGATACAGGGCTCGTTTCGCGGATTCCGAAAGATTTATAAATGATTTTTTTTAAAAAAAAGTGCAATATCTCATAATTTCACTGATGAAGCTGCTTCGAGTATCTTAACAAAAAATTCCTTACAAAATTTTATTTCATATGCAGTCAGTTTGTCATTGATGTAAATTTTATAATCCGCATGTTTGTATTTGTTATCGCGGTGGTACGTGAATTTACGCGTGCCAAATCTCGTACTAATTCGACTAGTAACTGCTGCAAAACCCGGGCCATCTACGGTCCAATTGGCACGGGCATATGGGCCCACACGGTCCACTGAATCTGTAACAATTCGGACCATACAAATCCGGATCTTGACCCGTGCCTATCCGAAACCAACCCGGTACATTTTCTTATAGGGCAGATGAGATTATCTATTTATTCGAAATGCTGAATACAATACAATATCAGAAGAATCATTTTCAACTAATATAATGTTGGAACGTTTCAGGCGGTTTACGAATTAAATGTTAATTTTAATTATTCTGAAAATATATTCTTTCAATGCTCGATAAGGAAATCACAAAACTGCAGAAAGCATTCTTAGTTCAACCGGTTTGTATTGAAATTTTTGATAAATTAATCAAATTTCAGAGTTTCTCAGCGAATTTGGCAATGGAAAATCCAATCTTTATGAACCTGAGGATGCTTTTTTTTCGTACGTTATCATTTTATGAGTAAATCTTTAACCATTCTTCATCAAGAAATATTATATAAAAAAAAATATTTTTTAGTCAGCAGATTTACAATGGCCGTGATTAAGAAAAACTTTTGCACAATTATCTTCAATATTATTATAGAAATGAACTTGGACATTCAATTTTCAACAATATGAAAAGAGCTAAAGGCGATTTTTCTAAAAGATTTTACTATGAGATCACATATTGCATTAAATTTCGATGGTAAATTGCTCTCAAACTAGGATCTATTTATGCAGAATACTTATGCTTGACTTCTGTTATGAAAAAGGGATTGATGTAGAAAGGATAAATTTAAGGCATTTAGTTATTATCAAAATTCTGCAGATATGGTAAATGGTATTTGGATGCATTAAGTTTGCTATTGCTACAATAAAGGAACTAGAATTGAAAAGATGAATATAAGTTATTCATGATTTTCAAAATCTGCTGGCATGATAATTCTTCAATTTTGTAGAATATTTTTAAAATAGAAAATTACTACATATCACCAGTGGTGATCAACACCAGTTCTAAGAATTTCTAGAGTTAGGGTTAGGAATTTGAGAGGATTTTTTTTTATATTATATAATATAAATTGGATATAAGGTCTTAATTTTAGTTTTTGTAAAGTTTTTAGAGGTTCTGAACATTTTTACTTATAGTACCCAATTCCATTTACTTAGTATATTTTTGAGATATAGCAACACTAGTAATAATCACCAATGGAGGTAAATAGCAAACTTCTTTTTTTTTTTTTGGTATTAAGGTGAGGCCTTGCTCATATCTTTAGTGATTAATTTATATAAGTAATTACATATCAACTATATAAAAACTTAATTTGTATAATGACAAATAAATATAAATTATATTCAAGAATAAAGCTCAGACTAAAAGCTCAAACTAATTATCTGCAACTTAAACCTACTAGAGTGGTCAAGACTCACCTAGGTTTGAATTGTTAGAATATGGTTAATAGATGTGCTATATTTGATTTACATAGTAGACCAAATATTAAATTTAAGATTAGCTTGTCCTAAAGGAGGACAAATATTAAGTTCAGAGTGTAATTGGTCAGCAGAGCTACAAGGACAACTGTAAGTATAGTTAATTTTGGTTCTTCTATTAGTTGGCTGCAAAGAAAATTGGGGTCAAGTATTATAGTTAGAATAGAAAGAGATTTGGCAAGATTTTTCCAGTAAGAGAAATTGGTATAGTATGGAATCCAGATATAGTTATAAAGTTAGTCAGGGATTTTAAGAAGTAGTCGAATAATAAGTTGGGAAGCATTAGAGTATAAGATTTCAAAGGGGTCTAGAGATTGGATTAGGGATATAGGTATGAGACCTTTAAGTATAAAATTAAGATAATAAAGATATAGCTAAAATGGTAGAGGATTGAAGGCAGGGTGTAAAAAAATAGTATGCATAAGATTATTTAGCTGATGAGAAGAAAGATTAAGATTGGTATTGGTAGTATCATGTATTGATGAGTTAATAGTTTGAATTAAAAGATTATAATTAGGACAAGTATAGCAATAAGAAGAAGAGTTTGAATTGTTGCAAGAAAAGCAGTTGGGAGATATAAATATATGAGGATAAATATTATGAAGGTGTGCATATATAGGTAGTATATTAAGTAACATTTTGATTTTGAAAGATTTTATATGATTTAGTTTGGGATTAGTGAAATTGTGTGAAGTTTTTTGATTGTTATTGAAGTATAGCTAAGAAGCGTTCCAATTAATTAGATAAAAAAAGTGAGACTATTCTTGGGCATGGTTTTGTGAGAACTATAGAGCTATATTATGTGCATTGCATATTTGTTTAGTGAATTGTCTCGAAGGGCTATTAATAAAGTTGTCTTTCTATGATAGAATAAAGTAGAGGTTATAAGAATTAGTATAGTTAAAAGATAGCATTGGGGAGGTAGAATAATTATTTGTGAGTAAATCTGCCAAGTTGTTAAAAGTGTCATCAGAGTGGGCTTGAACTTTAAAAAATAAGAGTTGAATATTAAAGGTTTTTAGAATATTAAGAAGTGTATACCAAATAGGCCAAGAGTTAAATTTAAAGTATTTGGTAGAATGAGAAGATAAAGTAAGGAGTTTGTTATATTTAGATATAATTGACTATGAATTAGTATAGATTTATAGGCTAGAGTTGTGTGGAATTGTAGAGATAACAGATAATATTGCTAATAGTTTGGCTTTATAGAAAGAGGGCTATTTGGAGATTTGAGCAAAGAAGCTTTATATAACTAAATTGTTGTGAATTTGAACCTAGCCAATACCTATAAAGCATTGGTCAGTACTGAATTGTTTAACAGATCTATTAGTGTAAAAGGTAAATTCATGTTGGGATGAGTTGGCTAATGCAAACTGGAAGAGCTGGTGAGAAGCTTCATTGCTAAAGAAAATGTTAAATAAGAGAGAGTCAAAAATGTTAATTGAGAGTAACAGTAGTATTTCTAAAGGACATTTGATATTAGTAGAATATATAAGGTCAATATAGTTTGCATTAAGATTAAGTTGTTTGTTACCTTTTTTCTTTCCAAGAACTAGGTAGAAAGAATAGCAGATACTTCAAGCTACAGCAGCTAGAAATACAATTAGAGTTAAGGTTATAGCCTTGACAAGGTGTGCAAGAAATAGAAGGTAGTGGATAATGATTAGAGATAGAAGTGTCAATATTATGTTGCTAGTGTGTTATAGAGATAGTGTTTGTTTGCAAAAAAGTTCTGTAAACTTGACCAATTACAATATGCTCATTGTAATAAGATAGAAACCAAGGTTTGTGAGTTTTAGGAATAAGATTGGTTTGAAATACAAAAAATTGGAGCTAATAGGCTGAAAGAGAGGTAGAATAGTACAAGATAGATTATTTTCAAGAATAGTATCTTCTAAGTAATTAAACCAGAGTGGTTTTTTGCCTTTGGGAATATGTAAAATTCTAGGTAATAAGTGTAGCTAGTCTAACAAAGTCTTGTTGTCTGCTAAACAAAGTTGTTCTAGGTATAAGATATTTTTGTGTTTAAGTTGTTGTTTAAAAGTATTATATTTAGAGTGATTAAAAAGAATGTTTTCAAGTAGTGTTAAATAGCAAACTTCTTTAAAATATTATTATTATATATTTATATATTGAATATATAATAAAAATATTATATTATTTTTTAACAATTTTAATATTATTGTTATATTATTTAAATGATTTAAAATTTCTATATTAAGTTTGTTGTAACTATATATTTAATATATAAGGTTGAGTCAATAGAAATCAAGCAAATTTTTTTTAATAAGTCTTTTTAAAACTTTAAACAAAGATAACTTAATAAAAACTTAATCAAATTTAATAAAAAATTTTTAAATTAATTTTACAACTTTGTAAAAATTGTTTGAAAAAAAATTTATTAAATTTTGTCAAGTTTTTGTTAAGTAATTCTTGTTTAAAGTTATGAAAAATCTTTATTATAAAAAATTTACTAATTCACCCTATATATTAGAAATATTCCAGAAACTTTGAATTTTTTAAAATATTATTACAATATACTTATAATATTGTAATAACCTTTTTACTATATTTTAAAAAATTTTATAACATTTTGAAACTCTTATGCTATTTTAAATTTTTGACTTGTAAATTTTTTATAATTTATTATTACTATATACTGTAGTTGTAATATCATTACAATTAGTATTTGTAATCAATTTTGCATTAGTTGATAAAATCAGATTAGCTAGTTTAATCAGCTGATTTTTCAAAAATTAACTTAGTCATATACAATAGTTTAAATATATTATATTAAAATTTTATACTTGAATCTAAAAATTTCTAAAAAGAATATCAATAAATATAAAATATGAGCAAGATTAGAACATAATTTCTGAAGTTTAATCAAATAGAACTTTGAATAATTAACTCTAACTTAGCTAGCTAAGCCAATTTTAATATTGACTTAGAAAAGTCAATAAATAATAGTTAACTACTAACACTAATTACAATATAATAATAAATATTTTGTAATATTTTACAATATTATTACAATGTTATTATAATATTATTACTTTAGTATAATATTTACAATATCAAGAATATATTAAAACTATATCAAAACTATATTATAGCTATATTATTTTATCATTTCTCATAAGTTTCTTATAATAAATATTTTAAAAAATTTAAAATTTTTGCAATATATATTTTATTTATTTATTTTTTTAAACAGTTTTATCTTTATTTATATAAACTTTATGTAAACTATTATATATGAACAATTTTATTATAAATATAGTTCTATCTAATAAAAGCTTTTTAAACAAAATTTTTAAACTGATCTGTCATAACAATTGTTTGCTTCTTTTAGAATCCAAATCTTTATAAGAATTTTGTACTATAAAAATACTCTCTCAATACTTTACTGGCTATTATATGCCTTATTATGACTGTTAAACTTTCTCTTCTAATTCTTTCTTCTTTTCAAGAAGTATGAGACAAAAGAGAAAATTTTCAAAAAAGTTATACAAAAACAAATGAAAAAGAAAACAAAAAAGAAAAAAAAAACAAATACAGATTGCAAAAAAAACAAAACAAAAAGAAATACAACAATCTATAAAAGCACTATTATAACTCATGCTAGACAAGTATAAAATTATATAGCAAATGTAATATTTGTATATTTCTATAGTAAGACTTTGCCTTAATGTTGAAGCTATTCTTTCTGACTTTACAACCAACTCTGGATAACTTTATTTGTGCCTATTCTAATTTATTTTTTGAGCAGGTGTTGCTACCATCTGTAAACCTATATTTCAAACTACCTACTGCTGTTATTAAAGATTAAGTATTAGGACCTAGTTCTGTATAGTAGCTCTGTATTCCTAAAACACATAATTGCATTCTGCTAGACTGTTCAAATTTGAAAAATAAACAATACTGATCTTTTGGAGAGAGTAAGCCAGATTCTTACTTTTTATCAAAAATTTTTAGAAGATTAACAGAAAGATGAGAGAAAGTGAAAAAAAAACTATTTGACCAAGTAAAAGAAGTGCAACTTAGAAAATTATAATTCTTGTTGTTTTCCTTGTGTTTTTTTTGAAGTAACAATCTAAGAGCTTCATCAACAAGTTAAGACTTTTGCCAAAGCATTACCAAGATTTTTTATACAAGAACATTACTATTTGCCAGTTATCTTGTATATTAATGCTTTTGGCTTGCATGCTAAATATTACTT